TTTCAGACAGACGAGACTTGCAAGTATCAAACTTAGTCTTATTAATTGATGCATTAAGTATCCATTTGCACCTTTTTACAAAGGTGTGTTTGAACTAAAAATCTGATTTTCCCCTCAGGTGTAGATCTGCTGAATATGCAAATGGTTCCATAACTTCATTCCTTATTTTCTCTTTACTGCTTAAGCTTTAACCCTTTCCTATACCAACTGTATGCTTGTGTATGTGTGTGTTAGGATGTTAGACCAGTTTATGTGTTTATGTAGTTAATAAAACCTTACTTGTATCACACTTGACGTGGTTCATTGTTTGCTCATAACTGGGGTCACTTAATCATGCAGATTTATGCTACAAGCTTTTGTAGAACTGTACAGTAAGAAAGTTATTTCCCTTAACCAGGAAATTAACATTCTTAGAATTGACAAGACAGTTGACCCTGAGAGGTCAGCTAAATATCTACAGCGGATCTAAAATATTTATAATTAATTATAACTAGTTATGATTAATTATTCATATTTCCCGTGAGCTGATTCGTTACACTGTGTTCATCCTCCCTTATGTTTGTAATAAATTGTGTATCTGACCAATAAAGTGTGAAGAAAAAGGAGATGTGAAGCAAACCACTGTGTGTCTCGTTCTTCTCACATTGGTTCGCATGAAGTGGATCTGAAACAGAACAGACTGAAAAACAGAGTTTGTGGGAAAATATGAACGAAAAATGTTTTTTTCCTACATTAATCTTTGCCCAGATATATTACAGACAGTTCTTGTTTAAATGCATCTGTTGCCGTAAAGAAACAACTCAAATGTAGCATTTTCATTTATTAATTCATTCACTTTATTTATAGAGCACTTTACAACTGCACCTGCAGACCAAAGTGCTGTACAATAAAAAGTGACTTGGAGACCTAGGTGCTTGACGAACAGTAACGAGCTCAGACACGTAAGCAGGGGCCAACCCATGCACTGCTTTAAAAACATACAGAAGAGTTTTATATTTTATCCTGTAGTTCACTGGTAGCCACTTGCGAGAAGCTAAAATAGGAGATATCATGACTTTTCTTAGCATCCACTAGCAGCCTAGCTGCTGTATTCTGAACTAATTGCAAGCGTGAGATAGTGGTCTGACTCCACATACAACACATTGCAATAATCCAGACGAGACAAAACAAAGGCATTAATAACCATCTCTAAGTCTTTTCTTGACAGAATAGGCTTTAGTCAAGCAATAGACCTAATCTGGAAAAAACTACAGCATGAATCTGCTTGTCAAATTTCAGCTCTGGGTCAAACACCACACCTAAGTTCCTTATTTGGTCACGGCAATAATTAGACCATGAGCCCAAATATGTGGACATATCTAAACATCCTCTGGCAGGGCCAAAAAACATAATCTCAGTTTTATTCTGGTTCAGCTGAAGCAGATTTTGAGTCATCCAGCTCTTAACCTCCTCTAGGCATGCAAATAGCAAATTAGAACCGTTGTTCTCTCCCACTCTCATAGGTAAATAGATCTGAGTATCATTCGCATACAAATGGTACGACGTTACCATTACTTGGGAGGAAAAGGGATTCTGGTTGGTTGAAACATAGATAAACTTAGAAAATCTCCACACATGAACATATAGTTTGAAGCACATCTCCAGTGATTATTTAGGTGACACCCGTGATCTGGTCTTAGGATCGATGTAGCCCACCGAGGGCATATATCCGCACTTCTTGCATCACGTTGTCTGAAAACGTACATTCTGCCCTGGAGTCAGTTATTCACTTCACTGTAGCCCAGTCATGAGAACAGAATTCCCAACAAACACACACACATAGAGAATACACAATTCCTTCAAGGTTGAGTGGCTCAGATTTGTTCTCATATCAGGTATGTTCCAAAGAAAAAGGGAGAGAGAAACTCAGCTAACTAATAAGATCTCATAAGTTTATTAAATCAACTAAAATCTAAGTGGTTAAATACTTAATAAATGACCACACAAAAGGATACATATTGAAGCGGAAGTGGATCCGGGATTCCACTCCTTCAAGGCATCATTTATGTTTTCAAAAGGGTTGCTATGCCATGAACCGGTGCAATCAAATGTGACGCATTCACTGAGGAGGACAGCCACATGATTATCTGAATACTTATTTTATAGTTTGTGAAGATCATTTACATCAGTTGAAATCCTTATATTTCTCTTTTATTTTGTGTGTAGTTTCTGAAATAACTGTTTTCTGTTTTATTTTTGTTGCACAAGACAATTTTCATAATTTATATACTATTTGTATTTATTCAGATTGAAAATATATTTCTCTAAAATGTCATTTTGCTTTAGTGTTGTTATATAACAATTTTTCTATTTATTTTACTCCCTGGCCTTTTTTACATTGTCAGTAAATAAAATTGCAACAAATGGCTATAATGTGCTTAGAGATCGTTACATGTAGACAAAATTTCATCTGGAAGTTTAAAACATCCAAATTGAACTTTCTAAAGGAACAAAACAAACAAACTTGAGGTTTTGTGTGAGTTTACAGTGAAAAATGCCACATTTTTGCTGTTGTTTTTCTTAAAATTCTGGAATTTGTTATCCATGTAAAATTGGGACTTTAGAATTTCTTCTGTTTAAAATGATATATGATACTTGATGCTGAGTGCTAGAATGGATTAGAAAACCAATAAAAAGTGCAGGTGAGTCAGGGGCCCCAGAAGTGCTCTATATAGGTATTTAAGGGTAAATACCATTAAACTACATACCAAGCATATAATTAGAGCTTAGTCTCTGAATGAGATCAGGAATGATAGTAGTGTCATCACCTCCTGATCACAATTTGTCTTGGCGTTAAAAGTTTACATTTCAATAGTGACAGACTGTGTTGCCAATTTAACAGTTTTGTCGCTAGATTTAGACTTTCCCATCCCTTTAGAGATTTTTTTTTTTTCATAAAAACAAGAATGTTCCCTGTTAGCGCGGTCTCTCCATTGTCATGCATCAAGTTCAACAAAGCAGACACACAAGTATGAAATATAAAATAAAACAAAATT